TTAGTGTGTGCCAGATTGTATCTCTCCATAGATAGATGGGTTGTGTGGATATCAATGGTATGTGTCCTTTTACGTCTCAGTGTGTGCCAGATTGTATCTCTCCATAGATAGATGGGTTGTGTGGATATCAATAGTATGTGTGCTTTTACGTCTCAGTGTGTGTATAGATAGATGGGTTGGTCTCTTCCCGTCTGCTTGTTGATATGGTGTATACATGTATGCATGCGTGTGTGTGTGACGTGTGCTTTGCCTGATTCCTGGACAGAATAGTCCGGAGAGGACTATACACCTTGCACACATGTGTTCGTCTGTGTGTAGGCGAAACCTCTTATAGCTGTTTATGCCTTGTTGTACCTTTGGATACACTCGTGTGTCTGTATACTGCATGTTCATCTGTCTTGTCCCGCTACCTAGATGCTACACGGCACATTTGATTGTAGTATAGTGGTGTGTAGTATAGTGTGTGCGTATATCTACTCGGACACCTGTGTCCTTGAGTGGCTGCCTTGGAATGTTGGTTAGTGGTTGCTTTTAGAGTGTTTGTTGTTGATTTCTTTGAGAGTGTTGGTCAAGTGATTGCTTAAGAGTGTATTCGATAGCGATTGTGTGGAGTGTGCATTACTGCGTAGTTTGAGTATGTTCATTTCTGATTGGATGCGCACCGACCCCAAAATTAGCAATATATGATATGCGCTGAAGGATTGCTTCTAATCTCATACTTTTCGTCTGATACTGTTCTTTTAGTCTGATACTTCTTGTCTGATACTGTTCTTTTAATCTGATACTTCTTGTCTGATACTGTTCTTTTAATCTGATACTTCTTGTCTGATACTGTTCTTTTAATCTGATTCTTCTGTCTGGGGGGGGGGGGGAGGGTAGCCAGTTGTGGGGAGTGTTCGTACATATACAGCACACATGTATATCTATTTGAGCGAAGACACGTGTTTGTTCAGTCTTGTAGCCATATTTGGACGGTGTACTTCCTTATTGCACGTGATAGGACTATATGTTTTATCGTTGATATGTGTGAACAGACTGACATAGCGCCAGTACTGATTCTTAATGTGATCTGATTCTCATACCATGTTCTCTATTACATCTCATAGGAGAATAAGCAACTGAACGTTTTCTCGGACCGTCGGGAACCAAAGCCTATCAAGTGCTACAACATGCGAGAAATCCGAGAAGTGATATTCAAGCCATTTGCAGAGTATGTGATCGCATATTCTATCTTTCTGTATCTAGTACATAGATTATGTAAATCAACCAGACATGGGCTATATATATCGATATAGATGTCTACCCCTATATAGCTATACCACCTATATAGACCCAGGGTAACTATGCCTACACCCCCCTAAGGCCGTGGGGCCACCACCCATCTATCTACCCATAGTCTATCCTTGCACTCACCCCTGCACAAATGCAGTATGTGTTCATCCGCTTGCTCTGATATATATATCAGCCAGTTGCAGCGTGTGTGATCGTTTACTCGTGCCATATAGCCGTGCCAAGCTATGCGTGTGAGTTCAGTTGAACATTCGTTTCATTTCATTGCGATAGTTTAGTTGTGGTCTGGGTTGTTGTGGGTTTTGGCTTTTGCCTTGGGGGTGGTTTGTGGGACGATATAGGGATTGAGTCATGACCGCACTCCAATTGAGCGAACAGTTCTGTGTGTGTCTGTATTACAAGAGTGTCTGTGTGTGTCTGTATAACAGGAGTGTCTGCATGTGTCTGTATAACAGGAGTGTCTGCGTGCATCTGCATAGCCGGAGTGTCTGTATGTATCTGTATAACAGGAGTGTCTGTGTGTATCTGGATAGAAGGAGTGTGTCTTGGCAGGGGGTCGAGTAGAGTGTTCACAGCTCACTAGTTACAGTGACATAAAACACTCAGTGCATTCTGCTTACCAGTTGGTGCGGTGCCTTATTGTTCAAGTCAAATCAGCAACGTCCTTAGTATATCCATCTGTCCACACCCACACTCACCTATAACTCACAGTGGAAGAATCTGAGTAATTTTACAATCACGACTTAATCAGCAACGTCCTGAGTATATCCATCTGTCCACACCCACACTCACCTGTAACTCACAGTGGAAGAATCTGAGTAATCTTACTATCACGACTTAATCCGCTACGTCCTTATTATATCCATCTGTTTACACCCACACTCACCTATACTCACAGTGGAAGTATCTGAGTAATTTTACTATCACGAATTTTGATTAAGTCCTCCCTGTGTGTTAAAAACTATCGTTGCACCCAAGGACTTAGCTACTTTATCACTAGTTAAATACTTTATCGATGCTTAGCTACTTTATCATTAGTTAAATAATTTATCGATGCTTCGCTACTTTATCGCTAGTTGAACGATTTATCGATGCTTAGCTACTTTATCACTAGTTAAATAGTTTATCGATGCTTAGCTACCTATCACTAGTTAAATAATTTATCTATATCACATCCCTGAAAGCATATCCATGTCTGGCCGGGTGTGCCCCATCGCATCTTCCCTTTACCCATTGCGTCACCCTCCCTAACGCGAGTGGTTACCAACCCTACAATCTGCAAATGTGCCCGTTACACGCCTGTCTCTATTACAATATCTTAAACCGTTGTTTGCCTACCGTTTCTATCACAATGTCTTAGCCCGTTGTTTGCCTACCGTTTCTATTACAATGTCTTAAACAGCTGTTTGCCTACCGTTTCTATCACAATGTCTTAACTAAACCGCTGTTTGCCTACCGTTCCTATTACAATGTCTTATTTAAACCGTCGTTTGACTACCGTCTCCGCCACAACAGCCCGTACGGGATAGTTCTGGTGTTCAATGGGCCCCACCGCAAAGAAAAGTTATCGCTACGATTCAAGGACGAGAAAGAGTGCAGAAAATGGTTCGATGACCTGGACAACGTGCGCGTGGCTCTCCGCAACTGGGATATTGCGAAGGGTGTGGGTGTTGTTATTGCGGGGGCTTTGTTAGGTGCCGCCGCACGCCGACGTTAGGTGGTGGTGTATATTGGGTTTAGGGTTTAGGACCTTGATGTACTTATGCATGATGCCTTGGTTGGGTGAGACACGAGAATGGTGTTCATCTGATTCGGTGACGTGTGTGCATATGAATAAACGCATTCAATGCAAGTGTGATATAGCGAAGGGCGTCGCATGGTGGACTAAGTGAGAACTAAGTCTAAGTGCGGATTAGTGGTAGGACAGGTAGATGTATATCTACGATGGATACGAGCTTTGGTCAAATACGTATACTTGTTTACACTCCAGAAAGGTCTTCATCTGACCCGAGCATTAGTCAAATACGTATACTTGGGTCACACACCAGAAAGGTGCTTATTTGATCCTGGGACATGCGCATGAAAACAAACGTGTAACGCAATTGGGATATAGCACAGAGCGTAGGTATTATCGCGACGGCGTTAAAACGTATTCATATAGGTACGTTATTCAAATACGTACACCTAGTTATATACCGGAAAGATCTTCACCCCATCTCGGACCAAGCATATAGTGAATTAAAAACCATATAATACCTTGTAATACCTTGCTGATGCGAACTTCAGTATATGTTTTTTCCCGCTATTGGGATGAGCACTCGAGGCGCGGGCTCTAAACGCGAGTTTCTCGAGGTTTTAACAGAGGAGTGTGCCTATTATATATTATATACTTGGTAACTATAAACACAAAGGTAATCAGGGTTAGTGTGTCTATTATATATTATATACTTAGTAACTATGAACAAAAAGGTAATCAATGTTAGTGTGTCTATTATATTTTATATACTTAGTAACTATAAACGCAAAGGCAATCAGGATTAGTGTCTATTATATATTATATACAGTAACTATGAACAAAAAGGCAATCAGGGCTACGTTCATAAAGGGATATCGATTTTAAAAAGGGCCTCACCAGCAAGCCTACTCAATACACGCGCACTGTCGCTACGTAAAGAATTGTACTGAGACGAACAAGCATCGCATATCACTTGTACAAATGTAGGTGACTGCGCCTATGTACTTGCCCATGCCACGATGAACACGTGGGACAGGCAGGCCTGGTAGGCCAAGTACAATACGATATTTACGAATGGTTTGCACAGACATAACACAATATACATATATATTTGATGCATATATGATATATCATATTTATGATATATGACATATACACAATATATATATATGTGATGTATCTGGCTATTGGGTAGAGAACGATTTCACGCACGTAGTCTAACGTATTGTTCGCCGGGTAAAACAAGTCGCCTCTACTAAGCCAACCAATCTGGATCGAAGATTGCTATGTAGTGCTAAAGCGTTTAGTTTAAGAGTGGGCTCGGAAGGGTTGTGGCCCAACAGGAGCCGTTGCGGTAGTAGCGCGTGCTTCGCCAAGCACATCAAGTTTCAGGGTTTTAGGGTTTTAGATAGAGTTGACCAATGTCGGGTGGGGTGCAGTACTCTGTTCCAAACCGTTGGAAGCAGCCAACCAAATCCTTAGGTGCAATAGGTGAAATGCACAGGCAGACATATTGGGGCTCTCATGCAAGGCATCTGGGTCACTGATATTCGCTCATGTATTGAACATCATATGTATACGCCTGTGGTCTTTATACTTCCTAGTAAGGATGTGCATGGACGTTGTGTGTGATAGTACAATCTTTGATCCTGTCGTGGAAATATGTAACGCGTTTGTATGGTTGTATATTTGTATATTTGTAAAACCATGGTACGTATAGAATTCATATATGTAAAAGCAAGGTACGTATAGAATTCATATGTAACGATCGGTTAAAATATTCCCACCCATAAGTGCGTGATCTCCCAGTCCTGCTCATTCTGGATATTTGATTCGTAGAATACAGTCACAATCCAGATTGCCCTTCACAGAGTTCCTATCTACTTGCTCACTTTATTTCTCGTCGCTCATCTCTCACGTTTGCTCACAGCCGCACGGGTCGCCCAATCATTCGGATGTACATACTTGCAGGTGCTTCGAATCTTACTTCTACCTTACGCTAAAACTGAAATATACTACATTAATAGTAAACAGCTGTATGTTGCTACTTATACGTTCTTCTCGCTAGGCCCGACCACTGTAACTATACCCCCTCACAGCAAGTGTCATACCGTTACATATCGGCGAATGAATTCTGTGTGTCGGCTTACAGCCCGCATGCGTTGGTCTCGAACCGCATATAAATGCCACCTAAGTCTTATATATATATATACATATACATATATATATATATATATATTTATACATATACATATACATATACATATATATGTATAAGCATAAGGCTACTTTTCCTAGACACACAAAAAAATTATCGAACCTATATGCTGCTGCTATATATCATCCAGCAAAATTTCTCGCATTGTCGGCCTACAGTAGGCGACTACAAGGCGCCATCAGACCCGACGGGATACAGTGACTGATGTACCAGGTCAACATTGGCCTGTACATGTATGGAGTGGTTAAAACCAGTGGATTAGTACACGAGGGAAGAAGTTCCGCAGTATACGCCTACAAAGATCAGAATCAATGCGTATCAAGCCCACGTACAACACTTCCACAGTATATGTATTGTATTGAACGGTCACAACCATTGGGGTACGGCAAGCACGTGCATTTGCAGAAGGTGCAGTATAGTTATAGCTTATCTCTCAGAACACGAGAACAGGAGACAATCGTCCTGTCAGTTGGGAGGCGGTGCAGATGAGCATGACGGTCGCAAGGAATAGGATACGGTAGCAGGTGCTTTAAGCGTTAAGCTTTGTTGTGAGGTGTATATGAATATGAAAGAGGTGGTGTGTGTATGTATGTGTGGGTATGTGTGTGTGTGTGTGGGGGGGGGGGGGTGATATACGGAAGAAGGTGATAGTTTGACTCACTGACCTGTTTAAGCCGCAAGTTCTCACCACTCATCAGCCTCGTAAGGCTCGGAGCTTCTGCATTATGTTATTGAGAAGATGTTATAGCAATGATAACGGTAAATACGTTTTCGATCTGTATCTTACTATTGTATACTAGAAATCCCAATTCGTTTACAATTATGCTCTGAGTGCTAGAACGACAGCGCTTCGGATCAAGGTGTATACATAGACATAGCTTGCTCCTATCCTGGTATCAATTGGGTACTAATAGTATAGATAAAAGGCTTATTAATTTCTGATTAAGGTGTATACATGGATATAGCTTGCTCCTATCCTGGCATCAATCAAGTACGATATAGTATAGATAAAAGGCTTATTAATTTCTGATCTAGGTGTATACATCGACATAGCTTGCTCCTATCCTGGCATCAATTGGGTACTAATAATATAGATAAATGGCTTATTAATTCCTGATTAAGGTGTATACATAGACATAGCTTGCTCCTATTCTGGCATCAACCGATTACTTTATAGTATAGATAAAAGGCTTATTAATTTCTGATCAAGGTGTATACATAGACAGCTTGCTCCTATTCTGGCATCAACCGATTACTTTATAGTATAGATAAAAGGCTTATTAATTTCTGATCAAGGTGTATACATCGACATAGCTTGCTCCTATCCTGGCATCAATTGGGTACTAATAGTATAGATAAATGGCTCATTAATTTCTGATTAAGGTGTATACATAGACATAGCTTGCTCCTATCCTGGCATCAACCGATTACTTTGTAGTATAGATAAAAGGCTTATTAATTTCTGACTAAGGTGTATACATGGATATAGCTTGCTGCTATCCTGGCATCAATTGAGAAGTACGTAAAGAATAGATAAAAGGCTTATCAATTACTGATCAAAGTGTATACATGGATATAGCTTGCTCCTATCCTGGCATCAACCGATTACTTTATAGTATAGATAAAAGGCTTATTAATTTCTGATCAAGGTGTATACATGGATATAGCTTGCTCCTATCCTGGCATCAATCAAGTACGATATAGTATAGATAAAAGGCTTATTAATTTCTGATCTAGGTGTATACATAGACATAGCTTGCTCCTATTCTGGCATCAACCGATTACTTTATAATATAGATAAAAGGCTTATTAATTTCTGATCAAGGTGTATACATCGACATAGCTTGCTCCTATCCTGGCATAATTTGGGTACTAATAGTATAGATAAAAGGCTTATTAATTTCTGATCAAGGTGTATACATAGACATAGCTTGCTCCTATCCTGGCATAATTTGGGTACTAATAGTATAGATAAAAGGCTTATTAATTTCTGATCAAGGTGTATACATCGACATAGCTTGCTCCTATCCTGGCATAATTTGGGTACTAATAGTATAGATAAAAGGCTTATTAATTTCTGACTAAGGTGTATACATCGACATAGCTTGCTCCTATCCTGGCATCAATTGGGTAATAATAGTATAGATAAATGGCTCATTAATTTTTGATCAAGGTGTATACATATACATAGCTTGCTCCTATCCTGGCATCAATCGATTACTATATAGTATAGATAAAAGGTTTATTAATTTCTGATCAAGGTGTATACATAGACATAGCTTGCTCCCATCCTGGCATCAATTGAGTAGTACGTCTTGCTCCCATCCTGGCATCAATTGAGTAGTACGTATAGTATAGATAGAAGGCTTATCAATTTCCGATCAAGGTGTATACATAGACATAGCTTGCTCCTATTCTGGCATCAATTGAGTACTATATAGTATAGATAAATGGCTTATTAATTTCTGATCAAAGTGTATACATAGACATAGCTTGCTCCTATTCTGGCATCAATTGAGTACTATATAGTATAGATAAACGGCTTATTAATTTCTGATTAAGGTGCATACATAGACATAGCTTGCTCCTATCCTGGCATCAATTGAGTACTATATAGTATAGAAAAAAATGGTTGTTAATTTCTGATCAAGGTGTATACAAAGACATAGCTTGCTCCTATCCTGACATCAATTGAGTTGTACGTATAGTATATATAAAAGGTTTATTAATGTGACTTCCCCTTTATCCGGCATTAACCAGTAAGACATAGGCATGGGAAGTATGAATGAGAAGGCATCAATTGAGTACTATATAGTATAGATAAAAGGCTTATTAATTTCCGATCAAGGTGTATATGTATAGACATAGCTTGCTCCTATCCTGGCATAAAGTGAGTACTAAATAGTATAGATAAAAGGCTTATTAATTTCCGATCAAGGTGTATATATATAGACATAGCTTGCTCCTATCCTGGCATAAATTGAGTACTAAATAGTATAGATAAAAGGCTTATTAATTTCCGATCAAGGTGTATATATAGACATAGCTTGCTTCTATCCTGGTATCAATTGAGTAGTACGTACAGTATAGATAAACGGCTTATTAATTTCTGATCAAGGTGTATTCATAGACATAGCTTGTTCCTATCCTGGTATCAATTGAGTAGTACGTATAGTATGTATAAAAGGCTTATTAATGTTACTTCCCTTTATCTAAAATCCGCCAGCAAGACATAGACATGGGATGTATGGATGAGATTGATAGATTCCTATACACTATACTTCATGTGATGGCTATGTACATAGAAA